GGGGGTGGATTTATTAAAGGAGGGGTGGATTTATTAGAGTGGGTGGATTAATTAGAGGGGGGTGGATTAATTAGAGGGGGGTGGATTAATTAAAGGAGGGGTGGATTAATTAAAGGAGGGGTGGATTAATTAAAGGAGGGGTGGATTAATTAAAGGAGGGGTGGATTAATTAAAGGAGGGTGGATTAATTAGAGGGGGCTGGATTTATTGGGGGGGTGGATTTATTGGGGGGGTGGATTAATTAAAGGAGGGTGGATTAATTAAAGGGGGGTGGATTAATTAGAGGGGTGGATTAATTAGAGGGGGTGGATTTATTAAAGGGGGGTGGATTAATTAAAGGGGGGGTTCAATGTACATACCGGTACCATAAATAAATAAGCCCTACCCTGAAAATAAGCCCTAGTGTGTTTTTTGGGACTAAAATTAATATAAGACCCGGTCTTATTTTCGGAGAAACACGGTATAATTAAATAAAAAATATAAATATAGCCTTATACATAATTAATTTCATAAATATACATATAGACTTCAAATATATAAATATGTATATGTATTTAAATTACATGCGCATATTTATGTAATATTTTTATATAATTAAGTCATTTTATTAATTACAATTTGAGGGACGTGCCTGACAACCCAGATTGAAAGTCCTGAGAATTTAATTTGCTAGCACTATATTTAAACTAAAACCAAAATCTCCTTTTGAGAGAATATGTGTTACTACAGATGTGTTGGTAATGAGATTTGTGTATAGCCGCTCTGTACACTAATGTGGGGTACTCTTTTTTTCCACATGCAATTAATACAGAAAAATAATTTAGTATATAATATACATATACCTCAAGTGGAGCGCTATGGGTGTTGAGGGATTACCTCACAAGATCTTGATTGAGTTGTATACGTCGCATACAGATATAAAAGATAAAAAATGTATAATATAGTGTAAATTGTAAAACAGTGTGCAATTCAGGTGAGGTAGATACATGGTTCATTCACATTTTTAAGAGCCTATATTATTGGCTCTGTAAACTGGACTGGTATGCTCCTTAGGGCAGCATCCCACCACTATTTCCTGCCGAAATATTTCCTCCAGGAAGATAAAAACAATAGGAACATCCAATGTGTAGTATAATTAATTCAAAAGTATCTTGGATAAAATATGAATAGGTATTATGCTCACCTTTTTCAGAGCCTTAAAGGACCACTCTATCACCCAGACCACTTCAGCTTAATGGTCCTTCTAGGGTTAACCCATTGTTTTAGAAACATAGCAGTTTCAGAGAAACTGCTATGTTTATCAATGGGTTAAGCCTTCCCCCAAATCCTCTAGTGGCTGTCTCATTGACAGCCGCTAGAGGCGCTTGTGTGCTTCTCACTGTGAAAATCACAGTGAGAGCACGCAAGCGTCCATAGGAAAGCATTATGAATGCTTTCCTATGCGACCGGCTGAATGCGCGTGCAGCTCTTGCCGCGCGTGCGCATTCAGCCGACGGGACGGGGCGGATCGGAGGAGGAGAGGAGGCAAAGAGCTCCCTGCCCAGCGCTGGAAAAAGGTAAGTTTTAACCCCTTTCCCCCTTCTAGAGCCGGGCGGGAGGGGGTCCCTGAGGGTGGGGGCACCCTCAGGGCACTATAGTGCCAGGAAAACGAGTATGTTTTCCTGGCACTATAGTGGTCCTTCAAGTCTTGAGAGGAAAGATTTCCCAAGTAAGTGGATTAAAGGGACCCCCCCCCCCCCTTCTAACCCCGCCAAGAGATTTCTCAGATGTCCAATCACAGATATTGAAAAGTCTTTGCTCTGGGCAATTGCTGCCTCTTGAGTTCAATGCAAATAAGCTAACCAAACCAGTAAGTAACAGCACCTGTGGACTGTTTGAAAAGCCAGGGGGTTGTAACCAGGTTAATATAAAAAAATATTGTTAATTTCTATTGAAATCTGCAGTTTTATCTGTTGATACTGCTGATTTTATTTTGTTATAGAAATTGGCGCTGCCCCTACCTTTTTTTTTTTTAGTGCAACCCTAGCCATCATTGGTTTTATATATATATATATATATATATATAAATGAATATCCTTGGTTTCATAAATATGAAATAAACATAGAGAAAACTGAAAAAAATCCCGGTTACCTCTTTGTTATGGTATTTGATTTCACATCTTTCATCATTTAGACAAGTGTAAAGACGTATTTGTGAAACGTATACAACAAAGTTTTTATTTGTAAAGAGAGGCTAAAAATCAGAAATTTATTATATATTATGTTATATATATATATATATATATATATATATATATATATATATATATATATATATATGCAAAAAATATTCTTATATATCTTAGATTGGATTTGATGTAGTACTTTTACTTAGAATAAATTCTAATGTATTTGCTTAAAAAAGTCCTGAGAGTGCATCTCTTATTTATATATATATATATATATATATATATATATATATATATATATATATATATATATATATATATATATATATATACACACCATAACAAAGAGGTAACAGTGATTGTTTCCATTTTTTCTATGTTTTATTTCCTTTTGGTTCCTGCATTTCTTCATGAAGTCTTTTAAACATTAACCATTTGATTGAAGTCAACTATGAACTAAACAATAGCAAACGTTCAGTCGGTCCCTGCAGACAAAATCAATATGATCAACACCCTACAAAAGAATGTTTCTGAAAATTGAGTACCTTATAGGTGTGGACACAGAGAAAATGCCCTTTAACCTTTATTAAGATAAATAATGTTTTTATAATTAAGTATAAAATACCTTTTTGCACCTGTAATCTTTGATTTTGTTTGCTTTCAAAATATAACAAGTAAACCCAAATTTACCTAAACAGGAAATAGCCATTGCACATGCATTTGTAGTTCATTATTTATAGTGTGAGACAACACCCTCAAATAAGATAAAATACATTTAACCTACTGCAAAAAAGCCATAAATGTGTGCAAAATACCAATATGCTACAAACAGAGAGAAAAATCAGAAACTCCATATAGAGTGCAGATGCAAGGGTGTGTCCAGGGTCGAATTTAGCCTTCTTGCTATCCCAAGGCCAGTTTCCTTAAAGCAACCCCTGGCTTGCTATGGAGGCTTGGCATTACTTATAAAGTACATACCAAAAGAGTTGTGGTGGGGAAAAAAATGTGGATGAAAACCCCTTCCTCCTGAAGAAAGTGGATAGTTAATACATTGGTATCTACTTTACAAGTACTGCCAAGCCTCAATAGCAAGCCAGTAACCAACCTCACGCTGATGAGTTGCATTAACAATGGAATGGCTGTCCATGGGACGTTCACTGGCTTTGCTCCTCTTCCTGAGTTGTGTTTCAAAGCTTTTGTATACAGCAAACACATACACCAAGGAATCCATGTATAAAGTGGAATTGAGGCAAAAATGTGGTTCTTTGTCGATCTCATTTGCATACACCTACCCAGAATCTTTTGCAGTAGTGAGATTTTTGTGGGAAAAGCAAGTCTTATGGCTTTATTTAAAGAAACAATCCAGCCACAATAACCACTACAGCACCAGGTGTGCCATGGTGCCCTTCCAGGGAATAGGCAGTAGTGTGTATGAGGGGTGCAGTGTGTGTGGAATGCAGTGTGTGTGAGGTGCAGTGTGTGTGTATTGGAAGGCAGTGTGTGTGTGTATTTGGGTGCAGTGTGTGTGTATTTGGGGCAGTGGTGTGTGTGTATTTGGGGCAGTGGTGTGTGTGTATTGGGGCAGTGTGTGTGTGTATGTGTGTATTGGGGAGCAGTGTGTGTTGGGGCAGTATGTGTGTGTGTATTGGGGAGCAGTGTGTGTGTTGGGGCAGTGTGT